CCCCAAAACCCCAAAACCCCAAAACCCCAAAACCCCTTCGATCAGTTATCAGCTTGAAAATTACTCAACTTCTTCATCGATGTGCTCGACTCTCTTCTTTGGTTTGATGATATCAAACCATTCTTCTCTTGTCATCAAGGGCTTCTTCACCACTTCAAGGTTATACTTGACATGTCTGGGATTTTTCATGCCAACCAGGGTGCTTACAAGGGGAGAGGAGCCAGGCCCAGCCGATGGGATCGATCGAATCAACTGCAAATGTCTCGAAGCCGTATTATACACACCCATCTGGTTTGGCAAAGCCAGGTTAGATAGCTTACCCTGGAACAAGGGTTGAGAAGATACTAAGTTCATATTCAGCATGCTACAGACTGCAAGTAAGGTTTTATTAGTAGCTACAGTTTCATCACCCCTCTTTTCATTAAAGTCTTGCCATGGCTCGATGAAGGCTTCAGGTATCATTACGTTAATAGGTACTTGAATGTAGTTAAAATGATTATCCTTCCCACAAACCTTTTCAGCCAATTCAACAACTTTTTGCAAGTTAAGGTAGATTTTTTCCTCTCTGTTTCTTGCTCTGAATCAGAGCCATGTTGCCAACCCATAGTTTTTGATCTTACCTTCTTCGACCTTGGACTCAAGGAACTCGAAAGCAGCTGCAAGTCTGTCCATGACCACATTATCTGTGTTGTGAGGGCCTTGCATCTCATAAGCATTATGGAGATAATACAAGTCCAATGTCTCAAGGTTCATATTCTTTAAACTTTGTTCAAGCTGGTTCTCCAAAAATTTAGGATGAATGCAGTGAACATTACCTTGAATCACATCGCTCTTGTCCATATGACCCTCTCTGATGAGTTCCTCAACGATAACTCGTCCAGGAGTGCCCTGCTCAGAGTCCTCTGGGACGAAGCCACCCTTTGAAGCGACAAAGAGTTCATCTCTGGTATATCCGTACTTATTCACAAGGGTATTTAAGACCGAGCCAATGACTTTCTCTGACTTCTGGTATCGATAATTTATAGCTGTATCAATAACATTAACACCACCGCTCATGACGCTAGTCTTGATGCCGTTGTACATATAGAAATCAGTCTCATCATCAGGAGCCCCGATGTACGTCCCGATACCTAGGCTGGACAACTTAAGGTCACTGTCAAACGGCGTCTTGAAATTCTCCTCAGGGATTTCATCCCTGTTCCGCTTCATGTACTTCTCAGTGCCTGCCCCAGTGGCGTAGCCTGAAAGAGCATCCTTCTTCATGTAGTAAGGATGGAGATTATCGTCAAGCTGTTCTTCATAATTAGCCACATTCCTTAAGAAATTATCAAATTTCCCCAAATAAGGGTCAATCGAGGACAACACCTCACTCTTGGTACCCTCTCTGGTGCCTGAGAAGGCACGCTTAGAGCCTTCCAAGAAGGAAGTAACTGGCTTGACTCTTCTGCAATGTCTTTTTAATATCTGGTTCAGCATCTTAATTAATGGCTGAATTTATTATTTATTGTTTTAAACAAAGGGGTTTTGGGGTTTTGGGGTTTTGGGGTTTTGGGG